TGCTCGGGACGGGGCTAAAATTGTACAAATCTGCGTTACCCACTTAGCAAAATGTGCAAATTGGCTACGTAGTTCAATGTCCACGTTTTCAATGTCCACAGAGGGCGTATCGCATTCGCGTATCACGAAAAACGGGGCCGTAACATCTCTCAGGCTTCTCTCTGCTGTAAGTAATCTATAGCTCACACAAAACTCCCTCCTTTTTTCTTATACGGGCTTGGGACCAATTCTTTCGACCGTAACAGTCCAGAATATTTAGGGGGCCCTTCTAAGCTGGGGCCCCCAGACCGTGCCAGGGCTTCCCGGGTGGTAGTTACGCCACTGGTGCCGAGCCTGATGCATCAACCATTAATGGCGGATTCCCGAGATTATTTTGAGAAAATACTAATACCAAAATATCGAGGTCAATAGACGTATATACCTACAACTACATTGCAAAACATGTCCATTCTAAATTCCGCGAAATTATAACGGAAAAAAGTGACTTTTTTCCACTTTAAGTAGACGTGAAATTAAAGCGGAATTGCGTATACAGGACTTTGTCCTAATAATAATGTCCTGTATAAATAGAAAGGAAATTTGTAATTGTAAAGGCGAACGATGCCCGCAAAAGAAACACATGTTTGTGTCATCCGCGGGAGATAACTCGAATTCATCGCAGTCACATGCGATACATTTACCGCGATAGTTACCGCGTGGATCCACTCTCATATTGCTCCGCAACAATTAGCGACAAAAATATTAAGCTTAATATTAAACTGTGTAATCGAGATGAAAACCGCCGAGTAACCTAAGCGACTGAGATACTCTAACAGATTGATTGACAAAAGAAAATCAGTTGCTATGGTAACTCCGCTTTAAATATACAGGGTGTACTAAAACCACCGGAGGTCCTCTTAATGACAGATTCCTTAGAACATTTCCAGACGAAAATCCTAATACAGAAGTGTCGAGGTTATAATAGTTTTTAAATTAGAAGCGATTATTTTCCACAAATGATAGGGCTGAAATTTGGCGCGCTCAGGCACGGCGAAATGACAAGTGATATAAGTGCTCCTATGAATATCGCTCTTTTTACGATGTTATGTTTATTGTATAAATTTACAATATCACTTGTCATTTCGCCGTGCCTGAGCGCGCGAAATTTCAGTCCTATCATTTGTGGAAAAGAATCGCTTCTAATTTAAAAACTATTATAGCCTCGACATTTTTGTATTAGGATTTTCGTCTGGAAATGTTCTAAGGAATCTGTCATTAAGAGGACCTCCGGTGGTTTTAGTACACCCTGTATATGACCAAATCCTTTACAATATCCGTTATAATGTCTGTCTTAACAGTATAACCATTATGGTCCTACTTTGTATAAAGGATTTCATATAATGAATAAAATGTCATATTAAGAATTCCACCAGTCATGCCTAAATCAAACGGACATATGAGAAATCCGTTTTAATATTGAATATCTATTATAAAATATAACGGAAATATAATTGTCCTTTATACCTAAAACGGATATGTTTTGTAGTGTAGCGGATATAAAGATACACGGTCAGTCTCGCTGCGCGATTCACTTGGTACGAGACACCTGACACTTACGATAACGTGGCAGATAAAATCGAGATAAGACATATTCCGCAATCGTAATAATTTGAAAAACTATTTTGTTGCAAATTCTCAGTCATAATAATTCTCAAAGAATTCATTTCAAACTTACTTAACAATTGAACGCGCATGTGATACGTTGTAACATTCGAAAACATTTTCAATCTTTTCGTGAACTGAAAAATCGCGGAAAGAATCGAGAGTTTGGCGCGATTTGAATTTTCCCGCGTTGCGACGTTATAATTTATTGCCCGGGGGGGGGGACACTTTCGAAAAGGCGAATCGACTGCGACGGTGACCGCGGGCGCACGTGGTCCGCTCGAAGAGGATCGGGTCCGAAGCGACTTTCTTACCTTTCGGCTCCTTATTATCGGCCATGATCGTCCGGGCGGAAACCAGCGCGCCGACGACGTTGCGATCGCGCCGAGTAATCCGGTCGAAGTGCTATTCACGGATGCCGGCTGCGCGCGGCTCTTACGGGGGGGCCGAAAAACCGAAGGAAACTAGTTCCAAACCGGTTTCGAGCTGGAACTGGTTCCGTACGCGTCGCGAACCATCGGCCGGTCGTGTTCGCCCGCCCGTCGGACCGCTCGTGAAAACGAGCAGCTGCGCGACCTCGCCGTGACTCTCGCCGATCGTCCCCGCACGAGTTTCGAACGCATTCCGAACCGGGACCGAACGCGGCGGGAAGCGCCGGGCATCGCGGGAGGATCGCGGATGGACGCGTACCGGTTTGCGCGGACGGCGCGTCGAGACCGTTTCACTTGAAATGGAAACTTGTCGCCGCGGGTCAGCTAGTTTTTGAGGCGAACCTCCTCGGCGAGAATACTTGCCAATAGAAATCGGACGCCTCGAGGAGAGACGCGACTTCACCAGCAGTTCCTCGAACGCTCGAATTGTACTTATCTCTGATAGAACGGCTGTGTCATCGGCAAACGCCATTACACTTATCTTTGAACGTCGCAATGGACTCTGGGCCTCAGATATTATACGCGTTAAGATCTAGATTACTTCTTGCCGAGTGCAGGAAGTGAAATAGTGCGATATGCGGGACGATTACTGAATTAGAAGTAATTCATGAGCTTCATTAGCCGATTAATATCTCTCCTCGCTTATAATTTGCATTGTCAATTCCTTCTCCCTCCCTCTCACGTCTGTTGCACAAGTGAAAACTATTTCGTCGTGTAATATGATAACTATCGGGATGCGTAAACCTTATATAAATATTGTAATTAATATACAATGTCCACGGCCATAATTAGAAATCTTTCACCTCCCCACGTTCTTAGCTAATTTGCATTCTGGACTCCACCGTAAGTGAATTTCTTGTGCCTGGTTACGTAACGCGCTCGTAACACCCGTGCCTCGTGGCGCAATCAAATGAGAATCGTTGCTTACGCTAAGTACGGGCGCGATGTGCGGAGACCCCTCGACACGTACGCGCGTAGCTCGCTAATTTGAGCAAGAATCTCATGCTCCCCACATTTTTCGCCTCGTTGCAAAATCTGCAGTCGTGTACCGATACCCGCTTTCGTTCCGGCTGAGCCGTTCCGGGGCGCTCGCCCGGAATGCGCGCTAATAAGTTCTTTACGCGCGCGAAACGACTCCGCGGCGACGTGTTCGGGAAACGCCGTATAGCTGCGGTGCGAGCGATTTACGAAGACGTGACGTGCGGATGCGTAAGAACCGCGCGCGTACCGTACCGTTCGCGGTTTATGACGACGACTTTTATACCGTGTCGCGGAACGGAGCTAGCGGGATTGCGTTGTGCACCGATGCAGCCTGCAGCCGCCGGAGCGGCGAGGATGAACATCGAGCATGCGTCTGCCGAACGATGTAACGCGAATAATTTTCGGTCGGACGTTTTTCCGCGATGTCGATGTTACACGGTCTACTTTAGTTTGCATTAGACGATCTACGACTCGCGTCGGACTTCTCGATAGAATTCGTAGCTTTACGACGTACGTCTTGATGTCTGCGTGATGCTCGATGATCGGATGGGATATCGGTGATCCTTTGGCTGTGACACTTCCTTCTTGCAATGTGTACTTAATATATTTGTACATATACTTTTACACAGCGCGTTTCTATTGAATGTTATTCAATGTTAAAAATTATTTTTCAACGTATTCCACACAGCATACTTTATCTGGGATATTCTGAAGAATTCTAAATTGTTCCAGACTTTCAAATATATAATTTTCCTGAAAGATTTGTAAACAGTCTTTGACCGATTACATACATTGTTGTATAAATACTATGTTAAAAATCAATCTGAATGATACTTTAATCAGATATTATATACAATGTGTGTATATACTGAGTTAATACATATTTACATATATTTATTTTATATTGCATATATATGACACACATAATAATACAAATCCCTTTCTAAAAAAGAGATGTTAACAGCGCGAATGTCGTTAATATCGAATAGTTGAGGCCTCTTTTCCACGATGCCGATTAGTTTTTCCGAAGCGCGGTGTGCTTTACTTCTCTTTTAGATTCGTAGTAAATGAAGAATTGCAATTTAGAAATACACATTTGTATACACTAACTATTGAGGTAAAATCTCTAATCTTAGTAATTAGAATTTAAGTAACAACGATTTTTGTTTCGAAACATTTTCTCGATTGAACAGAATTAATCGTTAATTCAGTCGATACCAATAAGTCCGCAGAATGATGCACAAAACGTGGTAACAGTCACGGAACAAAGTAATGTAAATACCTATTAAGTAAAGAATTTTCAATTTCGTAGGCGGGACAACGAATTCTCAACGTTCGTTGCTGTTTTTCTCTCGGCGCGGTGTCGTACGACGTTAGGGTACCCTTAAGGTACCCATACACGTTTCGGAAATTCTCTGAGGAAAAACTGTGCAGTCCTGGCCTTCGGGATTTCCGGAGCGTGTGTAGTAGAAAACTGCGCAGACTTGGCGAACTGTTCAGGCGGCCTGATACTAATCGAAAAACGATTCTGAATATCTGCGCAGTCCCGAACTGTACAGGCCGATTGTAGTGTGTATGGCGTTTTCCGTCAGTTGTTTAATGAATGTTCGAAATCATGCAAGTATTTTCGCAAAGAGCCTTAATAAAACCGCGATTATCACAATAAAATGTTTCGTCGATCAGATAGTTTTTCATCACACGAAAAGTTTTCTGTCTTAAAAGCGTGCGTTAGCAAGCATAAGTGTATCTTGTTTTTTAATAACTGGTGTAACTAGTGCTAGCAGGTTTAAATAAGTTGCTTCGTCCATCCGCAAGTAATTGTGCCAATCTGTAGGCACAACCTTCAATTCTGTCAGCAAGTTTATGTGGGAAAACTGCCCCCTTTTTTGTAGCCACTCTTTGGACCATATTTTTCTGACACGTTTTTTCTTGTGATTTCTATTCAGAATGCACTGTCTTGCCAATATAAAACCAACAAGAGCCAAACTATCGTCCGTCGCGTCCATTGCTCACTAGAACTGAAAGTTATTCCGGAGTGTGTGTGCGCGAGGGTTCGTTCAGGCAATCCCGAAGGCCAGGACTGCACAGTTTTCCTCAGAGGATTTCTGGAACGTGTATGGGTACCTTTACGCGGGCCATTGTTTACCTGAAGGTCGCTGCGCTATCACTCGCTCGCCGAACGTCGAGCCGGCAAGCAGTGGCGAGAGTCGCTCCGTGCGTGGTATTGTATTACTTTTGCGTTATCGGTTTCCTAGACTTAATCGCGATAAATGTAGGGATAAAACGCTATTAATTTGTACGCCTTTATCAGTAACAAGTAACGTTCCTCGATCAATGACTAAGTTTCTACAACTTGTAATGAGAAACGAATTGCATGTTGAGGCGACGGCTCTTTATCAACGTAACATAGATATTTCACGAGACCAATCACATCTAAAATATGAGTGTAAACCGTGGTACATTGTCGCGGTTACATCTCGTTTACGCACCGCGCTTTTAATTCTCTATCGATTTCGTGTAATTTGCTCCATTTTCGGGAAAAGAGAAAAATTTATGCGACTTCGGCGTTCGCGCTGTAATTCGCTCTGTCGTTCTTCGTAACTCGAACGGGCAGGAAGTAAAGAAAGTCGCTTATTGCACGTCGTTACATTATGTAAATGTAATTGAAAATTATCTCGATTAACTGTTGCAATTAATAACAACTGTTTATCGCTGGAAATTTCGCTCACATAATTTAGTCCGAGGATTAGATTGAATGACAAAGATTGCAAAATATCGTTTCGTTGCGGACTAATAACTACTTCTTTACCGCAGATTGTGCTTCCGATGCTCGCGTTGCGTTTTATATCACCAATTTAAAAGTGATTTATCCATTCTTCCGAATAAAAAATGCAAGTTGTTAGTTTGAGTAAATTGTATGACAGGAAGTCACACGATATTTGTTAATAATATTTCGTGTGCGTTTCGCGGTATTTCACATCGCGTACGGGAGTGTCCGAAATTTCGCGAGTGTTTTGTGAGTGCAACAAGGAAATCTAAGAGGAGGAGGAGGAGGAGGCCAAGGAGGCATCGGGCAACGGCGGAGAAATCGTGAGGTAAGTGTCTTACATTTTGATGTTATTTGCTACTTGTGCAAGATAAAGTATCTGTTCTGTGTTTTTATTTTATTCATTCAAACGATTCGAACGAGGATTCGAATAAGTGTTAGAGACAAAACCATACGTATACAATTTTATGAGTTTGTAATTAAAAAAAGACTTTCAGTTTTTTTTATGTTTAGTTGAAAGGACACTACTTTTAATATGAGCATTTTCGATTCTTTAAATGTTTTTCAGATTATACGGCACGTAACACGGTAATATCATATAAGCAGAATTCAATCCTCCGATTTTTCTGATGCGAATTATAGATCGTTTAAAGTGGGCTCGGCAGCTTCCAGCGAGATTTTCCAAATGACACGATAATTACGTCTGCTCAACGCCTCCGGCGCTACGTGATTTAATACCAGAATACGCGCCGCGTAATCGTATTCTTATTCGCGTAATTGCGGCGCCCGTTACGTTTTCCCTGCGCAATCGTAACGAGACCTAGGATCATGCGAAAGTCTTTCGTCAGTGTAACGCGGACGATCGCATCACACGAAGGGGGGAATGATCGTGGCCGATGTAACGACCAGCCGTAGATAATCACGTTGCCGTCAAGACGAACCTTTCACCGTTCTTACCGATAATTATGCGCTCCTTTAACATCCCTCGGACAATTGCCGAACTGAATACGGAACTGGAATAAGGAAGGCAGCGACGTGACGTTAACGTCGACAGTAAAGCAGTTTATGGCTGCCGAGAGGCACGAAGCCGTATCGTATTGTGCCCCACAAAAGCTGAAAGTGCTTATTTAATAATAACCGATGTAGCTTCGTGCGAAGTTGATAGTTAAGTAATAAATCTCAATGCTAACCCATAATACACCCATGATAATGACAATTAATAAGATGCAAAGAAGACCGATCCTTCCCCCTTAAATTTTCTCAAAGAGGAATAAACTGCAAAATGGAGGATTTCGCTTTGCACGGAAGCTAAAGTTTCCAAAACGCGTAGAAAACAATAAACGTATCTCGAAGCAAGTTAAATCGCCACATGCCAATCTTGCTCGGGATTTTCTATTTTATGTTTTATTCATAAAACAACGCTTACGTTGTATTTGATTCGCGTATGAATCAGAATTTTCTTAAAATTGATATAACTTGAATCACTTCCCTTATGAAAAAACACGGACCGTCAA